GGATATAAAATTTTGATAGGCAAGGTCTTGCTTCTTCAGTGGCTTTAATTTGTGTAACATACAGTGCCGTTGACATCAGTGTAATCCCTGAAGATATAGAACATCTGCACATATAGGTGCAGAATCTGGATATTGAGTTAAAATTTGGAAAAACCCATTAGTGGAACCAGTTTACCCTCTTTCATTCTCTCCAGTTAATAATGTAGGTTACATGTTTAAAATTGAAAACAGTTTCTAAATAGTTCGGTAGGTGTGAATGCTTTGGCTGACCTGCGATTTCTTTAATGACCTGAAGGATGGAATAGGGATTATTCTTAATAGGCTTGTGGATCACACAGAAGGGCTGAGCTTTGACAGGAGAAATCATCTAAACATACAGATGAATTTCAACGTATCACTTGAAATAATTAGTAATGGATTAAAAGAGGTCTTTTAAACCATACCTATATGGGATGACATCCCAGAAACACAACTTAAGTTTTAAAAAGTACTTCTTTAAATACATGATATCTATTAGATAAGATTATTTTAAGCATATGCTCATAACTTTTAATGTTTAAATTTTTCAGCTCTTACTGATCTTTTCTCCAGAAAATAAATTTTTTAAAAAAACTAAGACTAATTTTCAACTATTTTGAGTGCTTAAAGCTTAATTGTATTTTTTGGAAAATAAGCTGCATGCGCTTTATAAATGTGGCAGGTGATACTTATGTTAAAATATTTCCAATAAGCGTAAAATAGTTTTCTGTAATTGCATATTTTTATGACATTAAAGATACTAATGAGGTAAAAATAGCTAGTTTCATAATATAATTGGGAAGCTCATTGCCCTTTCTGTGTATGTTGTGGTATATGTTGATGTTTACAAAATGAAGGTGTGGAAGACATACAGAGTTATGCTATATATGTGTGTTACTGATAACAGGCGTTAGCTACAATTCTGACTAGACTTCGATCTTCCAAACATGTATGTATGTATGTATGCATTTAATCTAAGGAGATAGAATTGCTCAGATTACCTCAGTGGCATCACTTAAAATTTTTTTGTATGTGTAGCCTTCAGGTGGAAGCAGATATGTGGGGCTTTAATGTATTATTTCACCAGACTCTTGTGTGTTGTAAATTTCTAGCAGCATGATTAAAAATATATCTATCCTTATATCCAGTTAATGATTTCTATGTAACATGTTATAGGTCTGATTTGTGCAAGATTTTTGATAACCATATTTGGCTTTAAGCATACATTGCTCTAAACATAAAACAAGCTGAGGTAAAAAATGGTAAATAAAGGGACAATAAAAGTTAAGAAAGACCATTAGCTGACCAAACACAGGACAGACCTGGAGACAGTATAGTAGCTGTCGAAAGCACTGCACGTAGTTTGCCAAGGGGCCACCTGATACTGAAACACCTTCCATGGCTTTGCCAGCCTTGGCTCTGAGGAGTAATTTGACAAACGAAGAAGAGAAAGAGGAGAGATGCTGGAAGAAATAGGCACGTGTGACGTTACACACATTAAAATATGCAGCAGTAGAGAGAGTTTTAAGGTAATAGGTGGAAGTAAAATACACTTTAGCTGAGAGGAAAAAGGAAGAACGTAGCATCTGTAAAAGCAGTGCAAATGTATAAAATGCAAGGCACTAATTTCGCATAATTCCAATTTCACATTGATTTAAACCAATTTATATCCTTTACTAGGTTTGCTTCCAGCAGATCAATTCCTTTAGTTCCTTGTATGATAGTAGAAACCAAGTGCTGGGATTGATAGTTTTCTATTTTAAGAAGCTGCATTAGCTTACAGGGTGGGGATGTCTCCTGATTGCTTCAGCTTGTGTATGCGATGGAGGGAACAGAGCTGTCTGGCTAGCAAGGGAGGGGCGCTGGGAATTAATCGCTTCCAGCTAGGGAGGGGGAGTGAGACCTCCTCTTGGAGGCAGCCTGTGGGGCAGCTCCGAAACTGCAGTCTTAGCTGAATGCAAATGTTAAAGAAAAGAAAGGGGAGAAGAAACGGGGGGAAAAAAAAAAAATGTAGTAACTGTAAAAGGAACCCATGATCAGAAGGGAGTGAGAAAGCTGAGTTGCTTTAGCTCTTCCATCTGCAGTGAACATAGCCTTTGTGTGAAGTTGAGAGAATACAGAGTGGGCAGGGTGTGCTTGTTTTTTAAAAATGGTAAAGCAGGGGGAAAAAGCAAGTCCAATTTTTCTGTCTTTTCCTAGTTTACCCTTTAGCAACTTTAGATGTATCATTATACTTGCCATATTAGATTGAGCCACAGTCCATCTAAACCATTATCCTGTTTGGGTAAGAGCTAGTAGGAAATGTTTAGGGAGAACTGTAAGAAAAGCAGTGTATTTAGAGGGAGCTTTCTCCTGTCTTAGCAGTTTTGGGAAGTGCTGGTTTTTTTCCATAATACAATAATGAATTAAAGGTCTTTACAAAAGATCATTCATCATCTGTATGGGATGTCAGATATTTTCAAAGTGGTTTACTTCATGATTGGATAGCTATACATACTTTCTTAACTAAGCTGAATAGTCACTTGTTGAGCATTGTATGAAAACTGTTGAACAACACAATATATAAATTGCCTGTAAAATTGGGAAACAGATTCATTGCGTTCTTTAAAGCAAGTGATGGACTAAAAAACACAGGCTCTTCCTGCCATAAACATCACCAGAAGTGTTATCATTGGGAGCATAGAAATGAGTTAACTAACCTTTAAAGGTATAAATGAAGCTAGAATTGCTATGTGAACTTGTCGCATCTCTCAAAAAAATAATTAAATCGTTTTAAAGTTTGTTAATTTTTAATCTGGAAGACAGTTACTCTAGACCTAACCTCGAGTTGTTTTGATAACACTAGCAAGAATGTCTTTGTGGGCAAATCTATTTTCATGCATGTGATTATTCAAGATAGCCTCCTAGAAATCATTGTAATATTTAATTAAAATATTAAAATATTTAATTACTGTAAGCCACTGGGGATACCAATGTTGTAATTGCATTTAAGATGAGGTAGAAAAGTAATTTGTTTTTCAAGTCTTGCTGACTTTATTAGCAGTGGCATCAGCACTTTACCCTTTTTAGTGTTTAAAAACTGATTAACTGCAGCATTACTTTAAACAGGATAATATAAAAAGTTAATATGCATTTTAATACATCACACTAACACAGTGTGACAGTGTTGAAAGAAATGCCTTTAAGCACATCTGTAAGGTTGTTTCATACGTTACTGCCTCGATACTTGGAGGGGGTATTTTTTGTCCAGCATGGTTGGCTTTTTATTTGTTTTGAGTTTTTGTGATGGGCAAAATGTTTCTTTTTGGAATACGTGCTTGGAAGAATGGCACAGGTGGGAGGATATGAAGTCTGATTATATGTTACAGTAAACTGGTGTAAGATATAAAGAGGACAAAATGCTTGAAATTACCCAGTATTTTTTTATGGGAGTGTTATTGATAGTTAAAAGAGAAATTAAACTAATCATGGAAGATACATGACTGAGAGCCGAAAACCTATTTGGGAATGTCATAAATTGGTTTATGCTATGAATTTGGTCTTACGAGAAAATAATAAAAAAAATGTTAATGGGAAGAACCGCAGTCCTGTTTAAGTGCCGTGTATTTCATGGCTCCTAATTTATATAAAAGCGTTTGCTTCACTTGTCCTAATTAACGTTTCAAAATGTGCCCTAAACCAGTTCAAAGCTGTATTACAATCTGTAATTTACATAGTAGGTCAGAGGAATAAGTTTGGTTTTAAACTTGTGTGTGCTTACTTGCCTAGATCACTGCTCTCAGCCGGTGAAGGGCTCTGGTCCTAGAGGGGAAGTACAAAGCAGAATCCACCCTTTTCTTCTGGTTCTTGGTTTGGTGTGTGTGAAAGAGTAGGAGGTGGTGGCCAGAGGGTGATTCGATAATGATCTTGGGGTGATGGTATTGGGGAACACGGTGAATGAGAGCCAGACAACCTGTATGCCAAAAAGACTGGCCCTGACTGTTCTAGATAGTTGGTATCAATGGAAAGAGAGCATCTTCTGCAGGACGGCCGTAGCTGGTGCTTACATCCACCATGGAGAGAGGGGAAAAATGGAAGGCAGCCTATCAGTGATGGGGGATGCACAAAAGTTTTGAGAGGCTAATCTAGCTAGGCTTCCTCTGCTCCTTCCTAGCCAAGAAGGAGAGATGCTTTTCTAGAGGGTGATTCACAACATGAGCCTAAAACAGTTTCTTAGAAAAGTTCCTCTCCCTCTCTTGGTTATAGAGGAAGTCCAGGCAGATCAGCCTCCTAAGGCTGAGTTTAGTCTTTCTGAACGTCACCCTCAGACGTCTCTGGTGAAGCGCTTGCAGTGAAACACTGCCTTCTGCTTGCTTATCGTAAGCAGAGCTTGTGGTGAAAATTATGGCTGAATAATTAAAGATATTAGTATATACTGAAATCTGCAGGTATTCCTGATTTTAGAAATACACTGCTAAGCATGCACATTGTAATTGAGTTTCCAAATGGCTTGTCTATATGCCATTTTGACATTTGGAAGTTGCAAAGAATCTTCATTTTCTATAAATGCAGGGATTGGTGCTATTTAAAAAAACAAACCAGAACAAAAACCAAAAACCAAACCAAACAACAAACAAACAAAACCAAAACCACAAAAAAGCCCTCAAAACCTTGCCTTTTTATCTTATACCTCCTTTTTTTGCACTGTGGTAAAGTCTGCTTGTAAATTGTTTTTTGGTGAGATGTACAGTGTGTTAACTCAAAAGTTTTAGCTTAAGCAGAAGAGGAACTTTCAACGGCAAAGTTCGTATTCGTGCCCCAGATAATGTCTAAAACATGAGAAATTCAGAAAACTACTGATGTTGCCAATGAAGTTTTATGTATGCTCATTTCAAAGCTCGCATCCATGTAAGGCTTTCTTCAATATTTTGGTACTTAGTAATGATGTTTTTTGCTGCTACAGTTAATTTACCTAGAGAATTTTTTTTTTTTTCTTAAACTAGAAAGAACTCTGCAATATGATACTTGACTGCTGTGCTCAGCAAAGAACATATGAGAAATTCTTTGGGTTACTGGCAGGGGTGAGTTATGTTTTCAGATTTTATACTTTATGGTAGATAATTTCATTGGGTTTTTTTCTGTATGTCAAACTTAAATTTTAATGGATAAATAAAACTAAGTCTTTTTATCATTCTGAAAATGGTTATATTAGTTGATTGGTTGTATTAGTTGATTGAATTAACATTTTGATTGTAATAAGCATAGTGAATGCAGAATGAGAGAACTCATTTTTTCTTTATATTGGTGCTTTTTTTGTTTCCTTCTTTTCTCATTACGGTTGAACAATAAGTCAGTGGCAAAGGAATGGTACTAAAAAGAGGTAAAAGTATTATGAGTTACCAGAAAATATCCTTTTTACAGTGCTGAAGATTAATTTTGGAGACTCCTGTCTTTTACCATTTTGTTCAAAGCTGCTTAGTAGGTTGTATTTAGAGCACAAGACGTCTGAATACTTACTGTCCTGGGGTTGTGGGTGGGGTTTTTTGTTTGTTTGTTTTTCAGTAAAAGCTAGCTCTGTGTGTAACTAATTGCTAATTTAGTTGCAGTTATTTCTTACTTAAGTTTTCCCTATCTATAATATTGACAGATCTGACTAGTTAAGATAAAATACTTGTTTTCTCAAGGGAGTAAGTTACGCTGAAAGGGAGTGGTTTTTTCCATTTGTATGTTTTATCCAGTGTTTGAGGAGATGCTTCTGCTGATAGTCAGTTACGAAGCACTAACCATATGAATCTACATGTTCTGTAGAATATAAATGTCAATTTCCATGTTCTTTAGAATGTTTATATCCAAAATGTCTTACCTCTGTGTTCCCTGCTGCTTCTTTAATTTTAAGTAGTCATTCAGTGATGTCATGAAAAAAATTTACATTTGATGGGGTTACATCAGGTGAAAATACTGCGTGTACGGAAGTAAAAGAAATTGCTGGATAATTTGCTGTAGTTCAAAACTGATAATTACTGATTTGCAATGCAGATGAGTTTCTTGTTCTGACAAACTGCTGAAAGCAATAAAATGTATCCGTTTGAAGGTATTTTCTTCTCCTCCAATTGTGATTTAAAAGGAAAATCTTGCAGTAATATTTGCACCATTAGGTCACTTACATGTAGGTTATTTGCATGTTTCATATTTTGTTTAATCTGGTTGTTTAAATTGTACAATGTTGTCTCAGCGTTTCTGCATGTTAAAAAAAGAATATATGGAATCCTTTGAAGCTATTTTCAAAGAACAATATGATACCATTCATCGTTTGGAAACAAACAAACTGAGGAATGTTGCCAAGATGTTTGCTCATCTACTGTATACCGATTCAATTCCCTGGAGTGTAAGTAAAAAAGGGTATTGTCCTAGATTTCTTTTCAATAATTAATCTCCAGTATTAAGAAATAACATACAATACATTTAGTTTTAGTATTGATTCTACAATTTGGAACTACTTGTATTTGTAGCAAACTGGATTATTTTAAGTATCTTCTCAGACACTGTTGAACAACTCTGTGTTGCTCCATCTCCTCTTTCTGCCCCCTGTGCATCATCATCCTTCCTCCCCCATTCTTAAGTAGTTGATTTAAGCTGGTATTTTGTGGAGCTCAGCTGGAACTGGTTGATTAAAATGCACTTTTTTTAGAATTTTGAACTTTTAATCAGCAATGTAAATTGCAGAACAGTCTCTCAAAAACAAGCCTAAAGAAACCTTTTAAAATTATCTTTATATATAAAATTAAAAGTTCTACATAATTATAAGAAATTCTAAAATACTGCCATTTTGTGATTTAAGTGCCAAATAAAGGCAATCTTGTATTCTGAGATAACTTATTTCTTCATTTGTAATGTTATATTATTATATCAAGGTAACTTCTTTTTTCCTACTGTTTTATTCTTGTTTCACAGCCTAGTCTAATTGTCATTCTTCATGCGCACACACAAGTCAGGCCAAATATTTCACCTCTTTAGAACTTAAGTCCCAAATCTTTAACTTCCCAGAAGTGCACACCCCTGATTTTTTTCTTGTGAAGCTTTCCTGGATAAAATAAATCCTTAAAGAATTACTGGTATAAATATGATCAGAAACTGCTCCCAGGTGGTAGAAAAGAATTTTAGAGGCAGAACGTCTGGACTAGGAATCATAGGCTCTATGTTCTTGGGGCAGGGGGACATGCAGAAATCATTCTTTATTAGTTATTTCAGGAGAACAAAGGTTTTTAAGATAAATAAAAGAATGTAGGTTCAAACTTAGAGGTTTTTTCTAAATATTTTTCTAAATATTTTCAGGTCCTTGAATGTATAATACTGAGTGAAGAAACTACCACATCCTCCAGTAGAATTTTTGTCAAAATATTCTTTCAGGAACTCAGTGAATATATGGGACTTCCTAATCTAAATGCAAGATTAAAAGATGAGTAAGTTGAAATTTTATTTTCAAAACTGTAAATTTAATTAGTTTATTTATCTGAAAAAGTACAGATAAGAACTCTGTTTTCAAATTCATCTAAAACTGCAGTTCTGTAGCTGCAGTACTTCAAGAATAAGTTCATGTATAGATTTAGTTATTGCAGAGAGTCCCATTAAGCTGAGTGTGTTACCATCCATTTGGGTTCAAGTATGTGCATGACTATTTGCAAGGTGTATCTTATATTTTTTTTCCCAATGATGGTTCAGCTTGTATAAGAATTTTCCAAGTGCAATTCTATTTTTATGTATTATCAGCTGTATAGCTCTGTAATAAATGTTACTGTGGCTTCTTTTTCTGACAAAACTTAAAAAAAGCACGTAACTATTAATTTCAGTTTTTCTGTGATTAATTGCTTATCCTTAAGTATAGTGTAAATACCACATTCTTTTAAGCCTGTATGTGATTTAATGCATTGTATTCTGACAATGTTCCTTTCAGTTGCTTGAGCTATATCCTGTAAGTTGGGATTTCTTCTGTGTATAGTGAAGAATTTAGTAGATGCTTTAGCTCATGTAAACTTAAACTTGAAACTATACTTAGGACCCTGTTTGGGATTTCAGTATAGGTACCTAGATCTTTGAACTTTTTGGTCAACAAGTATTATCCGAAATTAGGCTTTTTGTTGTCATAATCTGACAGTATGTATGTAATTCTTCTGTGTGTGAAGAAGCTTATGTTTTCGTAAAAGAGCAAGTTTTTAAATAGCATTTTGATCAGATACAGATATAAACATTGAAGTATTGAAAAATGCATGAAGAGAAAACTTTTGCTGTCCTATGGAGATCCATACAGTTTCTTTTTCAGTTTATTAATGTCAATGAGAATTAGTGCTAAGCTGGCATGGTGTTTAATTTAGATGTTTGTTTTCATCAGAACACTGCAGCCTTTCTTTGAGGGATTGTTGCCTCGGGATAACCCAAGAAACACTCGCTTTGCCATCAATTTCTTCACTTCTATTGGCCTTGGAGGACTAACGTAATCACATTTCTGATTTGATATTTATTTTCCTTCCCTCCCCTCCCTGTGCCAAAAAAAAAAAATTGATTTTTTTTTTTTTCTGTTAATTAGGGATGAATTACGGGAGCATCTTAAAAATGCACCAAAGATGATAATGACACAGAAACAAGATGTTGAGTCATCAGATTCCTCTTCATCTTCAGAGACAGACTCTTCAGATTCTGATTCTGACAGCAGCAGTAGTAGCTCAGAGTCATCCAGCAGCAGTGACTCCTCATCTAGCAGTGGTAACAGCAGTGACTCAGGTATTTAAATGCTAACTGTAACTATTTACTTCTCTTTTATTTACTTCTGTACACCTATTTATTTCTATGTATACTTGTTTTGAGGAAAAACTAGCTATAGACAGTATTAGTTTGTCTGCTTTAAAAACTAGTCAATTTTTTTAAACTTACAAGTTTTATAATACTAAATATTGCTCATGGAAATTTATTTTAGAGTTTAGAAAAACTGAGTTCCATTTTTGGAGACTTAAATATCTGAGGAACATTGTTTTGTAGATTACTTTTTTATATAGTTGATACCTGTTGCTCAGTACTATCACTTCAGTTTAGTGGAGGACAGCGGGATTAGACTCGTTCTCTATTAATATCTCTGTGGGATGCTGATGAACTGTAGAGACTAATGACTACAGCTCTTTTTTGCTTGGCTTGATGGAGTGAGCTTCATACTACCTGTGTCCTTCCCTGTAAATATGTGCCTCTTCATGGGTCAGAAATGACATTGTTCAGTTCTAGCTGAATTATTCTCCTTTCAAGTTTCCATTTCTAATTCCTTTTTCTCAGGAAGAGTTTGTGTGGTGATACAGTGAAGGTTCTTGTCTGTAGAGAAATCTCCAAGGAAGAATTAGCTTTTGCTGACAACTTAGTATTTTGTAGTTTTACGCATTATAATTAGGGTGTAGCATCTTATACCATCCTGCTGATGTAGAACCTTCTATTTGACATGAAGTGTCATAAACATTGCTTACTCTATAAAGTACATGCTAGTGTGAGTTACTGTGTGCAGTCTCCCCCACTGTATATAATGTGAGCAGATGATAACGCAGCATGACGTTCTATAGTACAGAAGCTTGCTGATTCAAAGTTAATTTGATTTATTACATGCCTTTGAAATGAAAATGTTGATTGATAAAAGCAGTGTGAACTGCTCATGCTTTGGAAATGCATTTTTGTTCTCCATTGCAATCTTACTGTACAAAGTCTGATTTGTGTATCATCGCATTCATCGCATTAATGACGACAAAGCACTAGAAGAGGGCACAGTTAAACAGGGTCAGAGGAGGTGTTAGTTCAGCAAAAAGCCAGATGGCTCCTGCATAGACAGCTGCAGCTCTGCTGAGCTGCTGATAGGAACCAGAGAGGTAAATCCTTAGCGACAAACCAACTGAGTCTGCAGTCTGCTAGTATGAACACTTTATTTTTGTAAGTTTAGGACCTTCCCTTTTTTTACTTGTCCATTCTCCATTCAGGAACACATTCATTAAAACTTGCATTTTGATATCGTTGCAGCCTGGTTTCACTTTTTTGTTCCTGGTTCTTGTGTACTTAAATACAGTGGCCAGAACACTAATTGGAGATAACTATATTCTTTAATGGTAAACTTGATTGAGGTCCATTACTGGTTGTAACTCCAACTCTTCCTGTGTTTGCAGCTTTTTAATTCTTCAAAATAACTTGGTAGAGCTGAAACGCATTTTTCAGAGGAATGTGCTACAATATTCCGGTGTTTTAACAGTGCAATATATAAGAGAAAATAGGAAAACTGCTGATTAGAAATGGAGCATGGAGCTAAATTAGAGATTACTGTCTTATGGACAGTTAATGTGTGGAACTTCACCAGCTAGCTCAGCACTGCTCTGGAGAGGTCATTCCAACCACAACAGGACCAGCAGAGGACAAAATTTGTTATCAAAGCAGCTTGTTCCTTTGTATTTACTTTCTCAGGTCTTTTTCTGCATTCTGGTGCATGTCAAACAATAGGGAAAATACTGTTTAGAAAACGTAATGTGTTAAAATCTATCTGAAGTGATCCATCATCACATTTTATCAGAATGCCAGGAAGCCTTAGTTCAGACATGAAACTAGCCAGCTGCTGTAGAACTCAGATTTGATGTAGTATTAAGTCAGTTTTGGCTGTGGTATTTTCAAAAAGTGATTAGAAACAGTTAGCTGATATGATACTATAGTTCATACAACAAGGTGAATTAATGGTTATTCTAAATGGCTGTAACTTCAGTGTTTACTGATAAATACAGTCGAGTGAAATCTAGAGGTTCCTTATAAAGAGCAAACAGGAAGAGTAAGGCCTCTTCTACTGAGATGAGCACTACTGTGTATTTAGAAATACACAAGTTTCAATCTTAAATTGTTGACAAAGCTGTCACTATTTCTCCTGAAAATGAGCCAGAGGGCCATTTTTCTTACGTTGCTGCGGTACCACTATCTCGAGCCATTTCAGTATGCCTCTGTTTCCTCCTAGGATAGTGTTGGAGATTTTTCCACATCTGCTGATTTTAATCTCCATTGACTGATAAGCTTTTCCAGGAAGTAATTGGAAAAGTAAATTATTTTAAGAGACTGGACGGTCTGGGAAAGGTGATATTTCTAAAAAAAAATTATTTGTGAGGGTGCTTTGATATATGACTTTACAGCCTATACCTGGTCCTTTTGTATCAAGTCACCAAGAGGATGATGATGGGTAGAGGTTCTCAAAAGTCAGGCATCACTTGCAGATAGCTAAGGGATACTTGTGAGTGGCAGCCACACCTGTACAAATTTGAGTTGTTCCCTCTTTAAGCAATTAACTGGTGGGGGAGGGGGGAAAAGAAGGTGGTTGGAGTTTCGTCAGTACACAGAATTTCAAATCTTTTCAAATATGAAAGCATGTCTTGCATAACCAAAAAATTCTTGGATCGGCAGGTTTGCAGATGTTACGTTAGATTCCGACTTAGTGAGTTGCTCTATTTTAACACTGATAAGACTGCTTAGTAATGTTTTGCATTCAAGCGCAGGTTTGGGTTTTTTTGTAAGTTGAGGAAGAAGTTTCTTTTTGGTTTGAGCTGCATCATGTTCTCGATACCTGTATAGGCATTGTAAATGGGATGAAATGCAGAAAGCTATTCCCTGATTTCTTATTTGTATGCTTTTAAGGTTTTGGGGTGATGCGTTGTGACCTTGCTTCTTGTTAATGTGAGATTCTTGTGTTAGTAACAGTGGGGTTACTGAGAAATACTGAAGCTTAGAGGAAAAATGGAGAGTAGTCTTGGGCTTGATAGTCAGTTCACACTTTTATGGAGAATTTCTCTTTATGTAAAATAAAAAGCCTGTAATGCAGACTGACATTTAAAAATAATCAGTACCTGCTCAGTTAAAGAATGGGTGAATTTTCCCCCATTGCATGGGACACTCAGTTGGGGGTGGGGGGGAGCAATAAAATCAAAGCTCATTATTTTGAAACCTTTGTTCAGATACGTACCTACAAAAGTTTTCTGACAAAAAATACCTCTCTAGAACTTTCTATGTAGTTTAAAAAGTTAAGCGTAATAAATTAAAATGCAACCTTATTCCCATAATTTGTTATAATTTCAGATGTTCCTAAAGCCAAAAGAAAGAGAATGCAAAAGAAAAATAGAGAATCTGATAAAGTTTCCAGGAAAAAACAAGAAAGGAAAAGGAAATCACTTGAAAAGAAAATGGGGAGGAGGCAGCAAGAGGAAAGAAGTGATACTGAAAGCAAATCAGAAAGAAATCACCGAAATTTGAGAGAATCACACAGGAGAGATGACGTATCAAAATATCATCACAGAGATGAGTCCAATGGCAGAGACGGTTACCATAGTGGTAAGGATAGGAACCATGAAAGAAGTAAGGATCTAGAAAATAAGCACAGTAATTCAAAACCGAAGAAAGCAGAGAGAAGAGCTTCTTTGTCTGATGATGAAAATTACAGACACTGGAGCAAAGATAATGGACATCGCAGTAGAAAAAGAGAAAGATCAAAATCCAGAGAGAGAGACCGTAATAATTCAAGTCCGAGAGAGGAGGAACAGGAAGACCGATACAGAAATGGTTCAGAGAAACACCGAGAGAAGTACAACCGTTATTCTGACCAGTACAGAGAATCCAGAAAGAATGAGGACAGGCGAAGGGAGAATTCCCCACACAGACGAAAATAGTACCTAATCAGAATTTGAAATAAATGTGCATTTCTGAGTTGTTAAAACTGTATTTTAAAATCTATTACTGAACTTTCTTTAAAAAAAATATTTTGTACAAAGTGATAGTTTGCATTTGTAAATTTTATCAGACTTTTTCAAATTTTCAGTACCACTTTTTTATAACTATTGCATTGAGTCTTTCTGTTAAATTCTTCCTTTGGAAAGACAAAGCTGTTTATTTTGTGAATAAAACCATTAAGATCTCAGCGAAATGGGTGGTTTTGTCACTTGGTTTCAAGTACTTGTAATTGTAACTTTATAGTCTAAAAAACATTGGGTTTTAACTTTTCTTGTTAATTGAAAGTCAGATACTGAGGCTAGGGTGATAAATGTAAAAATCTCAGATTACAATGTGAATGTTACATGAGAAGGCTTTATAAAAAAAATTTCAAACATCAGCACGAGCGCTTCAGGCATTCTATAGCTGTATGGTTTTTTTCAACTTCGCAAACATGAAAGCAAGTTTGACCAAAATTTTCAGGAAATACTTCAGTTGATTTTTTTTCTTCAAGAGTTAAAATTGGAAAAGCAATATTTCTGTTTTAAATGTCACATTTGAAAGTGTGTCAACTTGTTCTGTTACTTTTCACAATGTTTTTTAATATTGTAACATCCTGAGTAGTTACACTTGTGATCTTAGATAGGGGGGGGGGAAAAGTTGGCGTGGTTTTTGAGGGTTTTTTTTTTCCAACTATGAATTTGATTTTGAAGTCATAGACTTCAACTCTAACCCTACAAAGGAAGTGTTAAAGGAACATCTTTCCCAGTATATAAAAAAATAAGAAATCAAAATAAGAGGTGTTTCAAATCTTTTTAGACGTTTTGAACTACATGGCTTGAAGTGCTCAAGTTCACTGGAAGCAAAGTTTACCACAAAAAAAATCAGTTGCTGCAGCAGTTAAAATTGTTCTACCTGGAGTTATCTGAAGCAACTAGCTCAACATTCATTGTATGAGTAATGAATCAAAATCATCTGGTTAAGACTCTAAATCCCACTAGTAACTAAGGAAAATTTTGAAAGTCTTTAGGCATGAAATAGGAAATAGTGCGGACATGGTCAGTAGGAAAGACAGAGGTGATAGCTGTATATTATGCAATTGTTGATGCCGTAAGACTACATTTTTTTACTTTGTGAAATGAACACAATTGCTGGGCATGTAAGAACTTACAATCTTACATGTGTAAATCATATTTCATCTTGTATAAAGCATAGAAAATACATTTGAGCTGTTTTATAACAGAAAATAGAACAATTCCTAAGGAAATAGATCAGTTTGCCTAAATCTTGTCACAACATTTTTCTAAGAAAAATGTCACATTTTAAAATTTTTTTCTGTATTTAACAGAATTTATTTCTGCAAGCTTTCATGTAATAAAACATTTTCAGTCAAAAACATTTGCATGGAAAATAAATTCATATTGCAGATTAAAAATAAGTTTTCTATCTTGTTATACCACACAGCTTTAGTGACATCATGAGGTATATGTTGTTTAAACTGTGGTGGTTTTTTTGGCCAATGCACTTCTCACTTTCAAAATGGTTTGTGCGTTTTGGCAGCGTGTGTTAGTTCCAGGAAAACTTAATTTGAAAGAATGCTTTCTAAAAAGGATTCTGCTGATAATTGTTATGCTTCTTTGATAGCTCTCTACGAACAATATTGAAAATGATCTGTACTTCATAATGGTTTAATTGTACAAACTTACTTAATTTATCTAGAGTAATATTCCCCTTACTATGTTATGGGTTTAATAGCATAAATTTTATTAACCCATAACTTTTGAGATATTTTGTTCAAGTTAAAAAGCTTGTTAATTTCATCTTTAATAAATGGAAATATATTAAAACAATAAATGTGAAAACAAAACATTTCTTAAAAAATAAAGCATTTCATCTCAGACATGCTGATCAGGAAATGCCAGCTTAAACATCTCCAATTTTTTGTGTTACCTTGTACTAGCTGATGAAAATATTGTGCTCTTTGATGGTGAAAAAAGGGAGAGGATGAGATTAGGACTTGAGCTGGGGTCTCAGGTGCATTTACAATTTCTTGGTGGGTTTTTTTATTTCCAGAAATACTAATAGCTATTTAATAGAATGAACTATTAAAAGTAGCTGTTATTTTACCTTTACTACTGTGAGCAGGTTGATGTTAGCTAAATGCAGTAAGACAGCGAGGAGTATCTGGGATGTGCGCCTGTGACCAGGTGTGTGCTCAGAAGAATGGCCGCGCTGCGGCACACCAGGCCTGTCCCCAGCCCCGCGCCGGTGCTGGCAGCGGGCGGTAATACCGAGTGCATCCCCAGTTTTTAGCAGACTGTCACTTACGGACTTCCTGAGCCAGAGGCACTAGGTGCATCTCTGAATAAGGCGTCGCCCATTAAGTGTCCTCATTCTTTAGCTCATTTTGGGGGGGATTCTGCAGCATCCTGTGCCAGGAGTTCCAGTATTTTACTGTACAGTATGTGTAAAAGTATGTTTCTTTTATAGCTTCTGCCTGATCACTTTCATTTGCTGCTTTCTGATGCGTTTTCTGAATAACAGTCTGTAGTTGTTTCCTGCTTGCCATCTTGTGTGTGATTTTATAGACCTAAACCTGTATATTCTTTGCCATTTCTTTTCCAGAAGTTAAAATTCACCTGTAATCTCTCCTTGTGTGGGACTGCTCTTTAGCCCTGATCGGTCCTCCTGCCCTTTATTTATTTATTTATTTTACTATATTCTTTATAAGGGAAAAGAAGTCAAAATACTACGTAGTATTCAACATGAGGGTGTTCCAGGAGTTGCACTGTGACATAAAAGGTTTGGGGGTTGGTTTGTTTTCAGTCTATCCTCTCCATTGCTGTAGAGCTGAGTGATCCACAGTGGTCCTGGCCTTGCCTTCCTCAGCAGTAACAGCTAATTGTAGACCATGCACAGTAGTGGAGCGACTCATGCGTCTAGTCTATAATTAATACCGGAGCTCTAGGTTGTGTATTGAATAGCAACTTTGACCGAAGGACTTCAAGAAGTGGAGGTTCTATGACATTCTTCGCTATTTTGCTCAGTTGCTAACCCTCGCTACTTAAAAGCGTGACTGAAACAGCCCAGCCTTAGCTTTCTGCAATGGGCGCTGGTTATGACTTTGTTTAGCAGAGCTGTGCTGTCAGAAGTCACCTGACGCAGGTACCTCTGGGCCGTGTTCAGGGAATGGCTTGACTGCCTCTCAGGTAAAACAAATACTAAGCTGCTTTGGTCTTGCTGAACTGCAAGTTTCAATCACAAGTGCTCTTGACTCGGAAGAGTGAAAATGTTACTGTTGGAGAAATGTGCTGTTTGTTGGCCCTGTAACTAGCAACCTGTACCGTGGGACTTAAAAGTGTGTTATGAGGGAGGGTGTTGATGGCAATGCGGTGTTGGGCGTCTGGGCCTTGGTCTTCGTGGTGTGCTTGAACACAGAACCGTCATCAGCTGCTTGGGTTGGCTCCCGAGTCCCTCGTGCTGGTCGGCGCCCAGGTACGAGTTACTGGTCGGCAGGGCTGCAGGTACTGACTGCCGTGGCCTGTCAAGGGGAGCAGCTGCTGGAGGAAACTTCCAGACTCAGCTGGGTCAGAGCTGGTACCAACCAAAAAGATGTTTGGGAAGGAACTTGTGACGGCCTGTTCTGATCTTGTATGCTTAAAATTTACCTTTCAAAAGTGGTTGTAAAATCCAAGTCCATAGGTAAAGTAAGAGAGGCTGCATCCCTTTTGCTAGGACTCCCTGGCCGAGTTTGAGTTTCCTCACGCTGGTGGCATTAGGTGGTGTAGAGAGGAGTGGCTGACTCACCCAGTGAATTCACTGTCCATGTAGGAATAAGTCTTGACTGAAGTGTTTGTGGTATTTTGAAGAACCGTAATTCTGTTCTCCAACTATAATTTCATTTGGAGCAAGGTCTGTGAAGCTTCATTATTTGTATACTTCAGTCTAAAGAATGTTTTTTGGGGAAAAAAGACTAGCACTGTTTAGGCCATCTTGTTGTATAAATCATCAAAACATGACCTCATAGTATGAGAGCAGTTAGATACATTTCGGGACAAAACTATTCACTCTCTTTGTTAAAAATACTTTAAAATTGTCATCAACGGATCATGATTTCTAGAGCAGTTTTAGCTGTTATTTAAGCAGTATTGCAGTCTTCAAATTCTAGATAGTTCATCTCCGCAGTTCTGCATGGGAATGGGAGCCTGACTACAAATATATTTTTCTGTTTGCGTTGTTCATGTTAAATGAATTTTACAAACAGATCATGTACATATTGAAAATTAAATTCAATTTTGAAAATTACTAGTAGTACTAATTAGATTTAGATGGTATATTATTTTAGCCTAGGAGTATTGGTGTTCTTTAATTTACTTCAGGCTCCAGTAACATAACTCTTCTTAACTTTTGAATGCAGGCTATACTCTAAAATAGCTTAGCACATGTCAGCCACCAAAAAATACATGAGCTAGGGTGGGCTCTTCATGCTCCAGTAGCAATTTAAGGGCCTCCCTGTCATTAAGTTTGTACGTTTTATGAATAGAAGAGAAGACACTAGCTCATCTTCATTCACCATTCTTAAACTATTTTGAATTATCTTCCAGTGTTGAGGAAATATGCCTAACCATATGGCTAATTTTCTTGGAGAATCTAAAAAAGCAGGAGTCTATTATTATGCTAGCAGGGAGAATTGACTCCATGTTCTCTAATAACATTCAGGGAGCAGGGAAACTTGTCCTTCAATTTATTTTCAATTAGATAAGTTAGTATTTTTTAAAAAGCTTTTTTATTAGTCAAAATATTTTTTTAAGGAATTGTGAAGTCAAAATGCAGAATAAAGGGGTATTTTAATTAAAACTACATAAAACGTATTACCAGGTTAAAAGCAGCATGAGCAAAATATTACTTTATATGCTGGAAAAACTTGAGGTCATTTCAGGGATGTTCTGCTTTTTATATGTTTTCCTCAAGCAAGTCTATAATTTGGCTGAGACTAGAGTCAGGGATTTTCTTTTCTTGTCTAGTCCTCATGACTATCATCAAGCATTTCCTTCAAACTTCAAAAAAAAAAAAAAAAAGGGAGGGGTGCAACTTAAAACCTTAGTGTTGTTGGGAAAATGGTTAAAAAAAGACAAGTCCGTTAAGAAAATAAACGTCACATTTTGACTCTGTTTAAGCTATGTCCATTTTGAGTTATCTTTTTCCATT